TCATAAAATAGGAAGTCCTACAGAAGTGAGGATCAGGAGAGAAGTGATGGACACCACGGAGGTTGTAAATAAACCGATGCACATAATGAAGGGGTTAGATAGAATGAGAAGTGGAAGTAAACGTGAGGGATTCAGACTGAGTACTTCAGATGATGATTTCATGCTGTGGCCTCCAGACCACAAGGTTATATGTGATCCCTCTCAGGTCTATCTCTATCATATCCCAAAGCCCACTTTTATTCTAATGGAATGTTATGATCTTCCACCAGGATTTAGCAGACTCAATCTTATCACCATATCAAGAAATGAAAAGATAAGACCCTCCCGTATAGTGATCAATAACAAAGTTTATCTTTCTAGTACATTGTTCCGCAAAAGTTATTTGCGTTCACTGCAGACCAGTTCTGTTGCCACCGCTTCCTCCGTTTCACACGGACCTTGCTCTACATTTGTCATAACGAAAGATATTGAAGCAGATGCAGACTTTGCCTACTGTTTCCATTCAAATCATTGGCCAATACAATCACTACAATGGATAGACAGATGTCGTCAACAAGGCTGGCCCTCTGAGATTGTCGTATCTGAAATATTAAGATCAGGACACCATGTTGTCCCGATCGGTAGTACACCAGAAAATGGACTAGAATGGAGAATCTCATTCTCTCAGGCAGAACAAAAAATTATCTACTCCATGAATCACTGTCAGTTTTTGTGCTATGGTCTCCTTAAAACGTTTCTAAAAGAAGTTATCAACTTTCAAAATAATACTCCCGTCCTGTGTTCATACTTCACAAAAACAATTGTGTTTTGGGCAATACAGAATAATCATTCCTTGACATGGACACCTGAAAACTTATTGTCTTGTTTTTGGGATTGTTTTAAATTATTGATATACATGGTACATACCGGGGGATGTCCAAATTTCTTTATTCCTCAAAACAACATGTTTAGAGTGAAAGTCATTGGTTCTGTGCAAAATTTATTGTTCAGTCAGTTGTATGATTTGTATTGTAAGGACATATCTTGTTTACTTCTGAGTGAAACAATAAGGCCATACCTTAGTCAAGCTATTTTACAAAGAACATTGAGATTTTGCACAGACGAGAGCAGTATAATATCTAGCACGGAGTTAGATATTACATTATTTGGAGAATTTAGAATGGCTACACTAAAAATTGGTAATTTAAATCAATTTGTAGTATCCGTGAAACAATTAGAAAGAGTTATTATGAAAACGATGACTTCATATCGCGAAGTTACATTACAATGGATGACATCCACTTTGTTCAGGAACAGTGCAGTATTAATACAGAACAGTAAATGTCCAAGCGGGAATCGCAAATATTTTTGCTTCAGTTCCAAGATATCAGGACTGCTAAAACTGTCGAGCAAATTTGGTTGTATATCTGACATTCTATATCTTGCTATGTATTACTATAGGACATGTAGGTATGAGCATTCACTCAGTTGTTTAAAGAAGGCAGAGGAGGGTATGTTAGTACCGTATGATATGTATAATGGTCTTGTAGATAAAAATGAATACAGGCGCTATATGGAAGGTGTCCCTCTGGGGACTAGATTAAGGAAAGCACTAGTTGAAGATATTGAGCTTCACTGTGAGTATGAGTACATCCTGGAACTTGTGGAAGAGCAGAAGACGAGTCAGAAAAATGGCATGCTTTCATTATACATCCCACCTGTAGTGATGTTACACATGTTGTTAATTCTGAATCACAACAAACTCGGTGATACAGACAGGTGCAATCAATACCTAGAAAATATTAGGACTATTTTACTCTTATGCGATAAGTTTGTTATTCCTGCGCATTTAATGGATATTTCATGGCAAATAATGGCAATCTGCCAACGAACGTGTGGAAAATATTCGGAAGCTGTAGAGTCATACAAATATTCGTTGAAACAAATACCAACCCACAAGATTCAGGAAGCAACTCTATCAAAAATGAAAACATGTTTACCTTAAATGATATTATTCTGCTCAAAGTTGTGAAAGCTGTCATAGTGTTGGCGCACTGGTGCTTCAAAAGAAACTTGCAAACAAAATCTAGCATGTTATCAATATTTGTACGGACTGTATATATTACGGACTGTAGTATATTCATACTACTGTGATATTATGAAATATATTTCTGTATGTATTATTGTTTTTATATATTTCAAGAAAATAATCCTGAAATTTGATTAACCAAATGTTCTATTGCGCACCTGGATTAAGTTGCCTGAGTAAAGTTTTATTGTATGACTTCATTGGCTCTTTAATTTGATTGGTTATTTCCTATTTTTTTCATCCGATAAAACATTTTCATTATAAGTATAATTATACCGCGCTTTACCTTGTATGTCACAGCAGTATTAAGTTTTCAAGATAGGGGTTACATTTATAATCTAGTGTCCATCACAAGCACCTAATGGTACGTAACTTATATATTTGATTATGTGTTTCCTTAACATATAAAGATTTGATTTACGTAATTATTTTTATTGCAAACTTTTTACTTTATTGTATTTATGCATTCAAAATTGTAACTGAAAGATAGTAATGAGTCTGTGCGATTTCAATTGAATTGTTTACAGTACACAAATTTTCATAGAGTTCAGTTTTTTTCTTAAACGTATACTGTTGGTAAATTATCTTATATGTTATTTTCATAATTTCTGTAATTTAGAATTACAATGTACTTTGTTCGTTATAGATCAATGCCTTTATTTCCTTAATAAATGATGAAAACTTAACATCTGCCTTACTGCTCGGTTACACTATATCGTCTACGAATGACACAAAATACGCAAACAGTCGAATGCTTTACGCCATGTGTGTCCGTTTGACTGGTGATTGCTTCTCCATAAATTATATTATATAAGCAGCTATTTTATAATTATTTTTATCTTGATTTGTCATGTATGAATTTAACGCGTGTTATGAATGTTCATTCCTTGATTAAATCTTTTTGAAATTCAAATTATAATGTTAAACTGAAGAGATTAATTTACAGTCTGACAAAATAACAAAAGTGTATCATCCAAAAGCATCAGAATCAGCCAGAGGGTCGAAAGGCTTTGGATTATTCTCTCAATACAGCTGTTTTAACTTTTTAATAAATTGTACATATATCAAACGTATTTGCAATTGATTATTTACTCGTTTGCTCAGTATAGAAGTTGTCAATTGATTAATAATGCACTTACATCTTTTAATGTTTCGAATGGTAAGATTAAGATAATAAACAGTGATGAACCAATGAGCCTCACAAATAGCTAAATATAATACAAATATGGTCGGACCCCTGCCAAATTCCAAAGGTGGTACAGTGTATCAGGTCCGAACATTAACAAAATGAATTCCTAAGGAATAGACACAGATAACAAAATTATATTGATTTGTACCAAGGTCCCAGACTGGATAGTAGTATGTTGGGAACATTAATGTCAAACAGATAGCCACTTTGCATGTTTCTTACCAACGCTTTGCTACAAAGTGGTACTAGATATGTTAATTAATATACCAAGGGTCACGAAGTTATTTTGGAATAGGTATGTATCTAAAACGAACTATAACATTGTACTTCAATAAAAGATTTTTATTGTATGAAAATTATATATATTGCGTTTTTATGAACTGTTGCATCTTCTTTCTTCAAGCAACTCTCACATTTTAAATTTAGGATTATGCCCATGCACTGTTGACCACGAATCTCTCAAAAAAAAATGTGACTACATCAACATGTATACAATCCTTCTTGTTTGATATCTCTGTAAAAAAATTCCCTTGATATTGATTCATTCTCATTCATCACGTTATGTTGACACTTTCATCTGTAATTGGCGCTACATCCGGTCACGTGACGCTATACACGAGTACAATTGGCTTTAAGATTCTATTTCTAGTCAGTAGAAATGTCTAGTGTCCCGCAACTGAGGCCGGGGTATATGACCATTCTTGAAAAAAAATCTTTACATCAAAATTTAGATCATTATACACATGTATTAATGATGTATATAGCACATAAAACAACAACAACCAAAAATCTATAGGGTAAGATATATGACATTTTTCTGATTTGGAACAGAAGCGTATTGGATAAAAAAAAAACCCTGGTAAACCTGTTGTACAAAGAGAATTTCCTTCGCTGCTGACTATAACATAACAGGTACATGTACAGAAACACTTATTATAAATTGTATCTTGTTAATAAAACTTTGTGAATGTTGTTGTAATGTTATAATTAGGAAACCATCATATCATGATTACATTAACAATGTTTCTATGATCGCTTGTCGTAATTTGGACCTTTGTTTGTGTACAATCTTCGTCCTAATCTGTTTCTTTTCCTTAAACACACTCCCTCCGGATGTTGTATAGAAAGAAGACATCGAATATCTTCTTTAGAATCGGTAAATCCTGTCATAATAGCTTTCTAGTACAACCACCTGTATCCATGCGATTGACCACAGGACTCAAGTTTTTCCTCCATTAAAAGAGCTACATCCCCTTTGTCGGATTTGTATTTACGTATGAGCAAACCCAACTTAGCTGTTGTCCTTTTAAACGTTCGTTAACGAACAAAGACTCGGTTAGTTTGCGAAAGGATCTGTGTGTAATATATTCACTAGGCCCTAGTCTTGGCCCAAAAAGCCAAAACATGATTTATAAACATGCGACATTTATTCCCGAAGCTTCTCTTACATATTTTTAGTACCCCGAGCCCGACCCCAATTTAAACACATTACATTCCTCCCCTTTTACACAAAAAGATAATAAAAAATACAAAAAATGAATAAATCCTATTTGGATAAACAAAGTAATGATTAATTTTGCATTGTCATAAGAACTGCAACATGCAGCACAGTTCACCAAGGACTTCGCTCAATAAGTCCAAATTTTTAGTGGGTGTCCTCATCTTGAGTGGATAACGACGTTCCGGCACTGCATCAGTCTGATCAGGCACCTTGGTATCCTTGTTTACAGAGTCCGCAAGTTTTTATTGAGTTTCCACCATCGCAGGAGTTCCCTTGCCTGTTTTATCTGGAGACACTAAGGCCCGATCCATTCCTGGCTCCTTAAAAGAGGGTAACTCTACATCAAACGGCAGCGGTGTAAGTTCCGGCTCCAGCATCGTAGCAGACGACGATAATAAATGATCTATGTGGCAATAGCGAATGCGTTTTCCAACTCGTACAAGATAACTTAATGGTCCCAACTTTCTATGAATCACACCAGATATCCACTTCCATTTTTGTCCTGGAATAGTTGTTTTCACTTGAACTTGTTCACCCCCCTGAAATTCCCTGACTTTACACTGTCCACCATCATGTTGTTCTTTCATCTTTTGCTGTTTCTCCTCCACCGACTCCCGAAGATTAGGTTTAATGCAACTCCATCGGGTTCTTAACTGGCGCTTAAGAAATAGTTCTGCAGGCGATGTACCAGTAGTGCTATGTGGAGTTATGCGATACCTTAACAAAAAGTTGGCAAGGCGCTGCTGAAGAGACCATCTATGACCATCAAAATCTTGCCTCTTTCATGCTTTTTTTTAGAATTTGTACTCCTCTTTCAGCCAACCCATTTGACTGAGGATGATAGGGCGGTACAAGTGTATGTTTAACTCCACTGTGCTTCATGAAGTCTTGAAACTCACAAGATGTAAACTTGGGCCCATTGTCACTCACTATTTCTTCGGGTATTCCAACTGAGGCAAACCATGTTCTTAACTTTTCTATGGTATTGCTGCTTGTGGTGGACTTCACCTGCATGACTTTCAGCCATTTTGAAAAACTGTCGATAATAACAAGAAAGGACTGCCCCTTATATTCTGTATAATCTATATGCACTCGTTGCCCTGGTCTAGAAGCCCAAATCCAAGGATGCAGGGGGCTTTCTTTTGGAGTGTTTCTAGTAGATGCACAAGCTGAACATCTTTCAACCATGTCTTCAATGTCCCTGTCTAAATAAGGCCACCAAAGATACCCCCTGGCTAAGGCTTTTGTGCGAGACATTCCTAAATGTTCATCATGCAGCTCTAGCAACAAGCGACCTCTAAACTTATCCGGAATAACCACTCGCATCCCCCACAAGAGCAATCCCTTTTCCAGTGTAAGCTCATTCCGTCTATCAAAGAAAGGCTGCAAATCAGAATCCTCTACATGAGCTGGCCAGCCGTTCAGAGTGAAATCATACACCCTGGACAGAATCGGGTCTCTTCGGGTAGCTATAGCTATCTCCTGACTGGAGATGGGTAAGTACATATCCAATGAAAATACTCCTTCTTCTGTATCCTCCTGTTCTGTCTCATGTAGTGGTAATCTCGATAAGGAATCACAATAACCATGCTGTTCAGATGATTTGTACTGAATGTCCTACTGATACGCAGCCAGGATCAATGCCCAACGTTGCATTCTGGCTGCAGCTAATGGGGTAACGCCCTTTTTTGGTCCCAGAATTGACAACAACTGTTTGTGATCTGTTACCAATGTAAATTTGCGTCCAAACAAGTACTTATGGAATTTCTTTACTCCAAAAACTAAAGACAGTGCCACTTTTTATATCTGAGCTTACCGTCTCTCGGTTTCACTCAGTGTTCTGGAGGCAAAAGGTATTGGTCTCTCTGAGCCATCTTTCATTACATGCGATATTACTGCTCCAACTCCATAGGCAGATGAGTCGCACGATAATCGGAAAGGTTTCTTGGAGTCATAAAACACTAAAAGTTTACTCTCAGTGATCATCTTTTTTCAAACATTAAAACTCTTCTCACAGTCAGCCGTCTAATTCCATGGTTCATGCTTCTTTAACAACTTGTGGAGTGGGTTTAACTCGGTACTTAAGTTTGGCAGAAAAGCACCATAGTAATTCAACAACCCAAGAAAAGCTTTTAACTCCTTTACTCCAGTAGGTCTAGGTGCATCATTTATGGCCTTAACCTTTTCTTCTGTTGGGTGCACTCCATTGTGATCTAGCAGGAACCCCATATAAACCACTTGGTCTGCAAAAAACTCACACTTCTCTGCTTTCAACTTGATGTTATGCTTTCGCAAACGTCGAAATACTTCTCGAAGCGTATTCAGGTGAGTAGTGTCATTCGCCACTGTAATGAGAATGTCATCTATTCGACATACCACATGATCTAATCCCAAAGGACTTGGTCCATAACTGACTGAAATATTGCGCTTGTAGAACTAAATCAATAAGATAGCCGGGCATATCGAAAGAGTCCAAGGTGAGTATTAATGGTTAGACATTCTTGAGATTCTCTGTCCAATTCTAGCAGAGAATAAGCTTGACTTAGATCCAATTTTGTAATTTTTTTCCACCTGCTAAGCTGGCAAACATGTCATCTGTGTTGGGCAGTGGATACTGCTCCTTACTGAAAACCCGATTAACTGTCATCTTATAGTCTCCACAAATCCTCACTGACTGGTCTGCCTTTGGAACCACCACTACAGGTGCAGCCCAGGAGCTATTTTTTACTTTCTGAAGAACACCTCGCTCAACTAGTTTTCTCAGTTCCATTCCTACTTGTTCTTTAATAGCATAGGGTACTGTGCGTGCTTTGCAAAATATTGGATATTCGTCATCCTTCAACCTTATCTGTGCTTTAAAATCCTTTATTGGTTCTGTGCTTGGCAGGAATAGGTCACTATACTCTCTCCTTAGGGTCTCCATTTCATTCATACTGACTGCAAAGACTTCTTGCCAGTTGAGTTTTATTTTTGACAGCCAGTCCCTCCCCAATAAACTTGGTCGCTGTCCTTGGGCAACTAGCAATGGTAGCTCAACGAACTCTTGATCCTGGTACTTTACAGGAACATGACACACTCCCAGCAGCCCGATTTCATCTCCCGTATATGAACGAAGTACAGTATCTGTTTTTGTGAGCTTGAAATGCTCTAAATGTCTCTGGTAAACTGCCTCGCCTACAATGGAACGAACACTCCCGGTGTCAATTAAAAATTCTACCTCTTCATCTCCCACCGTTATGTTCACCGTCAACTTCCTTCTGCTATGGTCTTATTCATTGGTACAGAAAATAGAACAAATACTGTCTGATGAATCTGATGTCTCATCATCTGGCTTAGCCACAAACAGTGTTGATTTTTCTGATTTTTTTTTTCATGTGACACTTCTTTGCTATATGGCCAATTTTCTGACACTTGAAACACTTGCTGTCTTTGAATTTACACTCCTTCGGGTTATGGTTATTCCCAAATCGGTAACATTCCTCCGAATATTGTCATTGAAATTTCTTTCGGTTCTCAGATTTCCTCCCTGAATATTTTGTTTCCACACTGTGTATTCCTGGTTCAGGAGTCAAAAATGCCAAGGTGTCTTTTTCAACCGTTTCCATGGCATACGCAATCTTGACCGCTTTATCGAAATCCAGATCCGTCTCTGATACCAACTTTTTCTGTATTGCTTATGACCGTAACCCACAAACCAGTCGATCACTAAGTGTTTCAGGCAGAAATTCTCCAAACTCACAATGTGTAGATAGCCTCTTTAACTCAATTACATACGAGTAAACAGTTTCACCCTCCTTCTGGTTTCTCTTATTGAATTTAAATCTTTCAGAAATAACTAACGGTTTGGGCATGTAATACCCCCGCAACATTTGCACTAAATCTTTGTACTCTTTTTCTTTCGGCAGGGTCGGTTGCACTAAATTTTTCAAAACTCCATAAGTCGTTGGACCAATAATCAACAAAAATACAGCTACTTTCTTTTGGTCCTTAACTTCATTTGCCGCGAAAAAATGTTCAAGTCTCTCCACATAATTCGCGAAGCTTTCTGTGCTTTCATTAAACTCACCGATTTTTTCTATGTGGGTCATGTTGATTCTTCGATAAAGAGAATTCAAGCGTTCCGAATTCTCGTCGTCAATGTATATAATAGGCCCTAGTCTTGGCCCAAAAAGTCAAAACATGATTTATAAACATGCGACATTTATTCCCGAAGCTTCTCTTCCATATTTTTAGTGCCCCGAGCCCGACCCCAATTTAAACACATTACACTGTGCAATTTCCAAAAAAGTGAAACCCATCTTGAAATAGAAATTGTACAAACGATTTTCAATATTGTACAAAAGATTTTAACAATTCGTACGAATGATTTCCTAAATCGTTTAAATGATTTATAAAAATCAAATAAACGATTTTAAAAATCGAACAAACGATTTTAAAAATAGTACAAACGATATGAAAGATAGAATAAACGATTTCCTAAATCGTTTTAAAAATTCGTACAAATTATTTTCTAAATCGTTTGAACCACTTTACTTAATCGTTCAAACAATATAGAAAATCGTTTAAACAACTTTCTTAATCGTACAAACGATTTGTAAAATCGTACAAACGATATTAAAAATCGCACAAACGATTTTCTAAATCGTTCAAACGATTTTTGAATCGTTCAAACGATTTTTGAATCGTTCAAAAGATTTTTGAATCGTTCAAACCATTTTATAAATCGTACAAACGATTTTCGAAATCGTTCAAACGATTTAAAAAAATCATAGAAACGATTTTTATTTATTTTTCTACATTGTCAATATGGCACGAATACGCCGTCGTAATAAACATGGTACTGCAAGGCAAGATATAACCTTCTTTGTTAATAAATGTAAGGTTAAGTCTTGCGTTCCAAAAATTACTCAAAATACCTTTACTCAAAATCTTTTTATTCAAACGTTGATAAAAGGTTGAATAATTCGACGTTTTCCTTCAAACATTTCAGTCAATTATCAAATAACATATTCTCCATTTAAAGGTTATGTGATAAACATATAAAGAAATGGAAATTATCCTATTGCTAAAAATAGTGATATTGATTTGTCATTGATTTCCAAAAATATAGTACAGGTAAAGGGTTGATAATACAAACCGAAAGTAAAATCAAGATTGGATATTTTTCCTTTGAAAAATATTTTTTTCTGGGAAGTTTCCAAAAGAGGTACCGGTAAGTGTTGTTTTATTACATATTAAGTCTATTAATTGATAAACACAAGGATAAAATAAGGTTTTTCACCACCTCAATGCATGTTTCCCTTAAATTATATTGTTCACTATCTCCAAATAATTAATGTATTTCTTTTAAACAATTTGCTACCATTACCCTATATCTCAATCTACGTGCCTTTGCTCACATTTTCAACTGTTTGTATTGTGCTCATTGATTTTTAATCTACAAATCATACAGTATTTTACCATACTTAAGTTTAGGAATACTTATTTTATGAAATTCTGCTCTTTTCCAGTGTAAAATGTACAAAGATTTATTTATCAAAGTAATATGTTTGTATACGTCACAAAGCTCTCTTCAGATATTTTTTAAAAAATTTTTTGAGAGTTCGTTTTACTTTCATTTATTGCATAGTGCAAAACAAAACAAAAGAAAATATCTGAACATTCTTTCTATATACTGAAAACTTCAACAGAGAGAAAATAAGTGTGAAGTCTTTTATTTTTCAGATGTGTGCTTTTTGACTCTTAAAACATGAATCACATACCTCGCCTGTCAGAAGTAATATACGTGGGACTTTGTTGTAAGGTAGGGACTCCAACAGAGGTGAGGATCAGGAGAGAAGTTATGGACACCTTGGAGGCAGTGAATAAACCTGTGTTCATCATGAGAGGATTTGACAGAATGAGGAGTGGGAGTCAACGTGAAGGATTCAGACTGAAGACTTCAGATGAAGATTGGATGCTCTGGCATCCAGACCACAAGGTGATATGTGATCTCTCTCAGATCAGTCTCTATCGTACTCCACAACACACTGTGATTCTGATGGAGCGTGATGATCTACCACCTGGATTTACCAGACTTAACCTGATGACTGAATCTAATAATGCTAATACCATTTCCTCTATTATTGCAATAAATAACACGGTATACATTTCAAGTACATTATTCAGAGATAACTATTTACGTTTTTTCAAGTCCTGCAGTGTTCCTACTGCTGTTCTTCATGGACCTTGTTCTACCTTTTCTCTATCCCAAAATAGCGAAATTGACACTGCGTTCTGTATTCAATCACATCATTGGCCTACATCAGCACTACCATGGATACAGAGATGTCGTGAATCAGGCTGGCCAGATCAGAATATTCTTTTAGATATATTAAGAGGAGGATTCCATGTTGTTCCAATCGGAAGCACACCTGAAAATGTTTTGGAATGGAGAATCTCATTCTCTGGAGCAGAACAAAAACTCGTTTATTCAATGAATCACTGTCAATTTTTATGCTATGGTCTTTTCAAAATTTTTCTGAAAGAAGTAATTAATTGTCAGACCAATACACCAATTCTCTGCTCATATTTTATAAAAACTACTGTATTTTGGGTCATACAGAACAATAAGTCCCTATCCTGGACACCTGATACTTTATTACATTGTTTCTGGGAAATCTTTAAATCATTAATATACATGGTACGTATTGGGGAATGTCCAAACTTTTTTATTCCACAAAACAACATGTTTAGAGTTAAAGTCACTGGTTCCGTACAAACCTCACTGCTAAGTCAGTTGTATAATTTGTATTGTGAAGGAATACCCTGTCTACTACTAAGTGAAACAATAAGACCTTACCTCAGTATTGCTATATTAAACAGAACAATTAGAGTACATACACAGGAGCACAGTTTTATATCTACCATTGAATTGGATATAAGCTTATTTAAAGAATTATCTACATTTGATCACGGAATAAGACGTATTGAGGATTTTGCAGTTT